AGACGGGGTTTCATCGCGTTAGCCAGCATGGTCTCGATCTCCTGACCTCGTGATCCGCCCGTCTCGGCCTCCCAAAGTGCTGGGATTACAGGCTTGAGCCACCGCGCCCGGCCCTTCTAAGGCATTCTTTATTGAGAATGCTCTATTATTGTCTCTCAGATTGTGAAAAATGATGCTTTCATATTATTTCTGTTTTTCCTTCTCCCATTAGAAATAGATTTAAGATAACACTGCAACTCAAATGGTTTCTGCTTTCTTAAGTGATAAAAGAGTTGAGTCAGAGATAAGAGGTTTGTGACAGACTCCAATTTCTACAAATTGGTTAAGAGGAAAGAAAACAAAAAACTTCCAGCAAAGAAGTTGTAGCAGAAGCAATGTCTTTCAAAAGACTATTGTAAATGTGTTGTCAGTGCCTGTTGGTTTTCCATCCTAGGCTGGGTCTTCCCCACTTACTGCTCTGAAGAAGTAGTTTGGTAGGTGTTGTGACCTTGATTTTGTTTTATGTAGTGAGAAATGAAAATAATCCCTGAAGAAAAAGGAACATATGTTATTACTTTAACATTTTTCCTTCAATTTGTATTTTCCTTGGAAATGATGAACATCTCTCCAACATCAGGCACCCTCAGAATAAAATGGGTCCTATGAAATTAGAAAGCACAAGATTTGCTGCATTCATATTAGAAACCAAATTTCAGATAAATACAGATGGCACCAATTATTGTATGGGCTGCTGCCACAAGAAAAACATTTTGTTATGCAAATTTATGAACCCAACACCTGTTTCAGCAATAGTCACACCAATAACAATCTGCAAATTGGGTTGCTAAAGGCATTTTGAAGAAGTTACTTTTTCTCTGTTAGTATAACTTGACTCAACACTGATCCAGCCTGTGTTATTGATTAATCTCAAATGTTCCCATGGAGCCAAGTATTCAAAAGATCAGAATTTACATCTTTTCACTGATGGGCATCACAGTCTGGCAGACACATCTGGTCATTTGTACTCTGCACAAATTGTCAGGTAAGGCCTTCAGAGCTCACAGATTGAAATTTGAACATACCTACTGCTTGCTTATAAGCACTAAGGATAAAGATGTACTTCTTTCTATTGTTTTGTCCAAATTACTGCTGCAAGCTGATTTGCCATCTATTGTCTGGAGACATTTGGAAAGTAGAGAGAGGGAGTTCAAGGGCAAGGCCCTTTCTAGGCCTGCAGTTTTTGGTTCCTCCTTTGAATGTACTGACTTTCCCTCTTCTAGTATCTGTAGCTCCATGTATATTTCTGTAACTATCTCTATCAACTACAGGAGGGAGTAAAAACTGTGCCAAAGGTTTGTTTTTTTTATCTGCCTTGTGTGGACAATAATACTTCCTGACAGAATTGTGAGATAGTATGTAACAGCCTTGGTACATAGCAAGAACTCAATAAAAGGCAGCTGAATATAATTCCTAGCCCGATCACTTATTAGTCACATGATTTCCATATACATCCAAATTTTCTGAATTTCTAATTTCTTTGTCCAGGATAAAAAAGAATTACTCTACTTAAAACTGTTGAATGAAAATGAAAGGAATATGTATGAAAATGAATCAATATAGGCTTTGGTGCTGACAGATGTGAACTGGAATCCTGCTTCGTTCTTTACTAAACTGAATTTGGGAAAGTTACTTAGTCTCTTAGAGGCTTCGTGTTCTCATCTGTAAAATGGGAATAATAATAGCTATCTCAAAACAGTGGCAAGAACAAAATGAGTAAAAATATGTAAGTACTTTGTATAGTGTTAAGCACATAGGAGGGCACTGAACAATTGTTAATTCTCCCCTTCTGAATTGTAAAACCTAGTGAAACTCCTTACAGAGTATTAGTGAAACTAATACTCTGTAAATGTTAATTGAATTTATGTAAATGTTAATTGAATAACTTGCTCCCTAATCTTTCTCAAGAGTTTTTCCTTTTCTTGCTAGTTATTTTCTCCTCCCCTCTAACAACCACTCATCTGTTTGTATAATTGCAATAAAGACAAGTACTATAGAAAAAGTTACACTAGACTTGGGTAGAAAAAGAGATTGAGTTCTAAATCTCTGTTCTTTCTTCAAATAGATCCAAATCTACCATATTGAAATTTTACATCTCATCCATCATCTCTATCATCATCAAACATCTTGTTTTCCATAAATTTTCTACTTGGAGAAAGATTATTATTTTGACAATTTGGGGACAGAGCTACTTAATGAGAAGCCCTTGAAAGATTTAATGCAGCAAAGATTTGCTCTAGACTTTACAAGAGCCACGAAACCAGACTCTATACTGTTAAAAGCAATATAAAATTCCATTTTCTTCATCTTTGCTAGAGTTTGGCTGAGTCATTCTCATTACCTCAATTATCTTTAACTTCTTTCTTCTATTTTTTTTTTTTTTTTTTTTGAGACAAAGTCTCACTCTCGTCCCCCAGGCTGGAGTGCAATGGCACGATCTCGGCTCACTGCAACCTCCACCTCCCGGGTTCAAGCGATTCTACTGCCTCAGTCTCCTGAGTAGCTGGGATTATAGGAGCCTGCCACCACGTCCGGCTAATTTTTGTATTTTCAGTAGAGATAGCGTTTCACCATGTTAGCCAGGCTGGTCTACGAACTCCTGACCTCAGATGATCCGCCCGCCTCAGCCTCCCAAAGTGCTGGGATTACAGACATGAGCCACATGAGCCACTGCATTCGGCCTTTTTTTTTTTTTTTTTTTGACATGGAGTCTAGCTGTGTTGCCCAGGCTGGAGTATAGTGGCGCAATCTCAGCTCACTGCAATCTCCACCTCCTGGGTTCAAGTAATTCTTCCTGCCTCAGCCTCCCAAGTAGTTGGGATTACAGGTGCCTGCCATGATGCTTAGCTAATTTTTGTATTTTTTAGTAGAGACAGGGTTTTGCCATGTTGGCCAGGCTGGTCTTGAACTCCTGACCTCAAGTGATTCACCCGCCTCAGCCTCCCAAAGTTCTGGGATTACAGGCATGAGCCACCACACCTGGCCAACTTCATTCATTTTTATATTGTATGCACCTGACAAATCAGACAGAGAGGTAGATAAGAAAGAATGAAAATAGCAAACTGTCAATTGAGCTCCCTTATTCCCAAGATCAGTGTTAACACACAATTGTTGTTTTTTTTTGTGTTAACACACAATTGCTGGATTTTAATTAAAAAGCTAATTTTGAATCATAAAATCAGGTAATATTTGTTACACAAACCTGTTTAATATTTGGGTCAAGCAAGCATTTATAAAGATACGTTAAGAATACACCACATTTTAATGAAGCATAAAAACAAAGCTTCTAAGATTTACAAAGTATGACTGGAAAGTTCCCAGAGTCGCTACCACACTTCTTCAAGATTACTTCATAAACATGCCATAGCCTATTTAAGGATCAATACATACTGGATGTATTACAATGGGCAAGATGCTTTACTTCTTTGTACTTAAGTGTCTTCTGTAAACTGGAGCTAAAAAATAATACCTACAACACCTAAGCTGTTTAATATATCTGATTGATACACAGACCTAACTGACCATATTAAGTTGAAGCAAGTCGAAATTTAAAGTACCTCTGCTTTACAGTCTATAGCACACACACACTCACTCACTCACTGATTTGCCAGAAACAATTTGATTGCCTAGGCTAACAAGAAAAGAAGTCTACTTTTACAGTAAATGATGTAGCTTCGGGAAATTGGGACAATTTAGAGTCAGAAGTGAACCTAATCCAAACTATATGTCCTATGGAAGAGGAAAGTGTCCCTATGGAAGAGGAAGAGGTCCAGAGAGGTGAAGGGACTAGCTCAAAGTCGCTACTTGTGAGAATGCCAAAGCCATGGTCAGATCTCAGTATTCTGACTCGCCATCAAGTGCTTTCCACTAGACATACTAATTATTGGTAGCCTGTCTGAGGGAAATAAACCATAGCCCCAAACAGAAGTGGAATCCATGTTGGCACATTTGGGTGGTGCTACATACTCACAAATTCTCAGGATTCACTGGGAAAGTAGGGAAAGTCTTCCAAATTTCCTCACTATACATATTCTACATGTAGAGAATAGAATTTTATACTATACAGGAATCAGTCTTAATAATCTGGTTAACAGGTAGGCTCTCTTCCTCTACACAGCCCTTTACCTGATATGTCCACAGGAATCCTTTTAAACAAGTAGGGGTGCAGATCAACAAGGATATGACTATTAGCTCTTCTGACCCATCTCACAAGTCAGTGTCAACAGTTATCTATTACTATAATGTTGTATCCTAGGTAGGAGTCTCCATTATTATTCTAATTATTTGGAATCTATAAAAAGAGGGGGTATGTGCAGCAAAGAATTAACCTTACCCAAAGAGGGGTCCAGTCTTTGCCCCTGGCTACTGGGAGGTGATCTCTAGGCCCCTGGGATGTCCTGCCTGATAGAAAAGTCTTTGTCTGTGGGCTTTAGCCACCAGACAGTCTAACAACATGACTTATAATGGGTGTTTTGATCCATGCTGTATCAGCTCAGACCTCTGGAACAGTGGGAGACTAAAAGTATTCAGGAGGGGCTGGAGATTAATGGTCAACCACAAGGGCAGTGTGAGATTGAGCCCCAGTAAAAATTCTGGACATCAAAGCCTCAGATAAGCTTCTCTAGTTGCAATATTCTATGCATATTGTCACATATTGTGGCTGGGAGGAAGTAATGCAGGTAATGATGTCCATGACTCCACAGGGGTAAGATTACCAAAAGCTCTGTGTCCGGACCCCTCCTGGATTCTGTCCTATGCATCTCTTCCCTTGGCTGATTAATTTGTATGCTTTCAGTATAATAAAACTGGAGGTGTGAGCACAGCACTTTCCTGAGTTCTACAAATAGTTCTAGTGAATCATTGAATGTGAGGGTGGTGATGGGGCCCCTAAGTTTGTACCCAGCTTGTCTGAGTGAGGTGGTTCTGGGGACCTCTAAACTTGCAGGTAGTGAGTGTTGAAGTTAGGGCAGTTTTTTGGGGACTGTTCCCTCAGACTTTGCAGTTTGGTTAAATTCATTGCTTGGTGATGGTGAAAGTGAGGGTGATAAAAGATCAGGCAAGATTTAGGTATGATTCTTAAAGGGGAAGTGTATGAAATTGGTGAGTTTAGGGGCTTGTATTTGGGAAAAGGTAGATTTAGGGAAATCTCTCCTAGATGGGAGGTAAGAGATCAAAATTCTGCCAGAAAAATTAGATCCCTTTCATAAGACCCACTTCAGACCGACTGAGTGACAGTCCTGATAGAGTGACCTTACACAAATGACTTCAAGACTTACTCAAATGCAGCTATTATATATGTGATAGTTAAAACCGATGATATATGTGGAAATATCTTAAAGCTACCTCACATAAATGTGAAAACAAAATGCCATAATCATTTCAGAAACATCTTAGTGCAACTGTTACAAATTGTCCTGTATTGGACAAGACTTTCTTGACATTTCCCCTCTCAAATTAAAAAGCTCCTTCACCAAGTTTCTAAATGTTATATCTTTTCATTCCAAGTTATCTTGATTGTTGTGTTTGTGTTCCCCAACAAGGAACATTTAGATCTAAAAAACTGGGGAGTTTAAGAAAAGCAATGCACATATTTCAATTTGTCTCCAAATTTCTTATCACCTCCTAGAGTGTCTGATTTGTCTCTCCTCCGCTCCCGACGTGATGGGTTCAAATTTTTCAGAATGTAACATTTAAAAATGGGGCCTCAGCGTGAGTTTTCCCAGAGGCAGAAAGGTCGTACTTCTGGGGCGTAACCTACACGGTAAGTCACCGGGAGTGCGCTGAGCCGTGGGGGAAGGTCTGGATGGGCATTTTGGGGAGCCTCTCGCGTGTAGAAGGCAGTCTAGGGACGGCGCACCAAATGGCTAAGCGCCCGTGAATCGGCGCGCGGGGCCTCGCTCGGAAGTGGCACGGCTGGGCAGGGCCGGGGGAGTCCCGTTTCCCACCTGGATTAAGATGGATCCGACAGGGTCGTGGTTTTCAGTGTTCTGAGCCATGGCTAGGTCAAGGAATTGCTACCTCCGCGGAGGCGCGGTTTCCAAGCATGGAAACCTTCAGCCGGGGCCGCTCGTCCCCATGGCAACACTACGCGCGGCCCGGCCTGTTCCACGCTGGGAGCGGAAGGGGGCCTGGGGGCGGGGTCAGGGCAGCCTGGTCATTCCGAGAACGCCCTCCCCGGCGTGTCTCCCCCTCGCGCCGGCAGCCATGGTGCAGTCCAAGGCGGAAGCGGCTGCCAGACGGAACCGGCTTGCGAGCGCAGCTATGGCTGCGGGCGTACCCTGTGCGTTGGTTACCAGCTGCTCCTCCGCCTTCTCTGGAGACCAGCTGGTCCAACGTGAGTAGATAGGCGCCTGGGCCGACCTCCAAGGCCCCTGAGCCTCGGCGGGCGACGGACCCAGCACCTCGGCCTCTCTGGGCCTTGTCCTCGCCGCGGGCCCTGCGTTCTTCCTCCAGTCAATGGAGGCGCCCAGTCACCCCAGGTGGCTGCCCCTGGCTCTTAATTTCGTGCTTTTCTGCCCACCCGGCCCTCTTCTGCGTTCCTTTCGGCTTCTTGTGTAAAGTGAGACTGATTTCCCGCTCTGCCCAGCCCAGCCCACAGGTTTTTGCGAGGATCCGTTGAGATGAACCTGAAGGCTCTGCGGAAATTGCGCTAGGTTACAGGAGTGTAAGGTGCTGGAATTGTTGATATCGTGATGTTGCTATCCTTGCTGCTCTGGGGAGTGTTTCCTTTGAATTCTTGGTTGCTTCTTAATGTGTACATTATAAGACTTCTTAGCTTTCTCCCCTGCACTCTAATTATTCACGCCTTTCTTCTGAGGCATGGGCTCTCCGCCAACATGAGTTTTTGGGTATGACTGGGCTAGTGCTTTTGCTTATAGACCCTCATAATGGCTGTCAGACTTAGTAACTCTTAGAAGAGAGAACATGGGACTGGATCATAAGCCAACTCTACTAAAGGGCTCTGTGAAGTTGAATTATAGGTAATTCAAGACTTCTGTTTTAAGTGTTTTAAGTGTATGGCTTAGAATCAGAGTAGTGACTTAGCTGTATGATCTCAAGCAAGTCACCTAATCTACCTACCTACCTACCTTCCTTCTTTTCTTCCTTTCTTCTTCCTTTCCTTTCCTTTTCTTTCTTTTTCTTTTTCTTTTTCTCTGTTCTGTACTGTTCTGTTCTGTTGACGGGATCTTGCCCTGTCGCCCAGGCTGGAGTGCATTGATGCGATCATAGCTCACTTCAGCCTAGAACTCCTGGGCTCAAGTGATCCTCCGGCCTCAGTCTCCCAAGTAGCTGGAACTACAGGCTCACACCACGAACCTTGGCTATTTTTTTTATTTTTTGTAGAGCCAGGGTCTTGCTATGTTGCTCAGGCTGGTCTCCAACTCCTGGTTTCAAGTGATACTCCTGGTTTCAAGTGATCCTCCTGGTTTCAAGTGATCCTCCTGTCTTGGCCTCCCAAAGTGCTGAGATTACAGGCGTGAGCCACTGTGCCTGGCTACCCTTCACTTTCTCTTTTCTCTCCTTTTTTTTATTTTTATTTTGAGATAGGGTCTCACTCTGCTGCCCAGGCTGGAGTGCAGTGGCATTATCTCAGCTCACTGCAACTGCTGCCTCCTGGGCTCAAGCCATCCCCCCACCTCAGCCTCCCAAGTATCTGGGACTACAGGTGGGTGCCACCATGCCCGGCTAATTGCCCCCCCCCCCCGGCCCCCGCATCATACGGGGTTTGGCCATGTTGCCTAGGCTGGTCTGGAACTCCTGGGCTCAAGTGATCTAACTGCTTTGGCCTCCCAAAGTGCTGGGATTACAGGTGTGAGTCACCACCGCGCCTGGCCCCTTCACCTTCTATGTATAAAGTAGGGATAATTTTCACAGGATTGTGCTTAACCCAGAGTCTGGCATGTAGTAAACATTTGATAAATCATAGACATTATTATTAAGGCACATTACTATCTCTGTAACCCTCAATTTCCTGATCCTTAAAATGGGGCATATGAGCCTATTTCAGGAGTATTTGAAGGACAGATGATGTGACATTTTGAACACACTTTGTAAACTGTAAAGCATTGTATAATTATAATTTCTTTGCTACACCTGTCAAATGACAGAATTAGGTAAGATGTCCCTTCAGTGCAGATATTATATGACTTAGTTAACATTTGTGATCACTTAGAAAGTTCCTTGCTAGGGTGAAAACTTAATTATGGTATTTAACTAAGTGGTAAGTAGCTGGTCTAATTAGACCATTTTGCTACCTTTAAGCAGTGCTCCTTCCCATTTCCTCCTTTCCCTCCTTTCTTCCTTCTTCCTTCCTTTCTCTTTTTTTCTTTGTTTCATTGTAAAACTAGTACATACTTATTAAGTAAAATTTAGCATACAGAGAAAAGAAAATAGCCATAGTCTCATTACCCAACTACAAATACTGCTAATGTTTCTTTCCAGTCTGTTTTTCCAATGCAGTTTCTTAAAAAGAAATAATTGTAATTACATTTGATACACAGTTATTTCTGGTTTTTTTGTTTGTTTGTTTGTTTGTTTTTTTAAACAGAGTCTCACTCTGTAGCCCAGGCTAGGCTGGAGTGCAGTGGCACGATCTCGGCTCACTGCAAGCTCTGCCTCCCGGGTTCACGCCATTCTCCTGCCTCAGCCTCCCGAGTAGCTGGGACTACAGGCGCCCACCACCACGCCTGGCTAATTTTTTGTATTTTTAGTAGAGACGGGGTTTCACTGCGTTAGCCAGGATAGTCTTGATCTCCTGACCTCGTGATCCACCCGCCTCAGCCTCCCAAAGTGCTGGGATTATAGGCGTGAGCCACCACACCTGGCCATTTTTAAAATTTTTTAAATACACAGTTCTTATCCTGAGATTTATCAAAAATCAGTTTCTCACATTTATCCGTCTGGTGAATAAACCAGAATTTGCTCGAGATTCTTAAAGATGTAACTAACTTTCCAAAAGACTTACATGCATTTGGAATCCTATTAGCCATACATGAAAGTCTTTTGAAGACATTCTCAGGAATATTAATTATTCTGTTGGCTACAGTGCTCTGTTGTGTGCTTTAACGATCCCAATGGGCAAACGTGGTCACTGCCTTGAAGTAGCTGATTACCTGTAGTTAGCAAATGGTAACATTGTACTTCTGTAAAGTGTATTAGCATTATTGGGGGTAAAATTAATTCTGTAAAATAATCCATTTTATCTCTGTATGTAAAATGCTCTTAGATAATTCCAATTCGGGTTAAAATCAGTTGACCTTTCCATTGCCACTCGTTACTGTCATGTAGTAAAGAATAAAAGAACAGCTAGTGAGCAGATTGCTTGAATAAGGAAAAGTGAACCATAAAAGAGGGCTTGTCATTTCTTCCAAGGTTATGAGTAGGGTAGCAGTGGATAGTGTTAAAATGAAGTATTTGCTGAGCATTTATTCTTTGACTGTAATTAAAGATGGGATTAAATTAATCACAGGTTGACTCTAATTCTGAGGTAAGAGATGGAGCCCGCATAATATTTTGTCAAGTGTTTGGTGATATTAGGCTGTAGAATAGTTTTGGATTGAATTGGATCTGCCTTTTTGGGAAGGTTTGATTCTACTTCATGTATCAGCGAGAGAAACCTTTAGGGTTCTCCAATTTCTCTTTCCTTGGACATCTGATCTATCTTATCTTAGTGCTTTTAACCACCAGTGGGAAATATAACCAAATAACAGTTTATTAGAAATATTCTTAAAATAGTCCAAACGCAGTGGCACATGCTTGGAATTCCAACACTTTGGGAGGCCAGGGCGGGAGGATCATTTGAGCCCAGGAGTTCAAGACCAGCCTGGGCAACATAGGGAGACCTAGTCTCTACAAAATAAAAATAAAAATGTTAACAAATTAGCCGGGCATGGTGGTATGTGCCTGTTGTCCTAGCTCCTTGGAATGCTGAGGTGGGAGGATTGCTTGAGCCTGGGAGATCGAGGCTGCAGTGAGTTCTGATGGTACTACTGCCTTCCAGCCTAGGCGACAGAGCGAGACCCTGTCTCAGATACACACACACACTTAAAATAAGAATCACTGGGTCTCTACTATGCGTAAAGTGCATGCATGGACTTCATTAGAAACTTTTTCTTTTTGTCACTCAAAGGCCTTATTTGTGGTATTCTGTGTAGATGTCTAACATCGGATAAAAGAGGCATTACTGACAGGGTAGATTTTTTATTTTGTTTTATTTTATTTTATTTTATTTTAATTTTTTTTGAGACAGAGTCTCGCTCTGTCGCCCAGGCTGGAGTGCAGTGGCACGATCTCGGCTCACTGCAAGCTCTGCCTCCCGGGTTCACGCTGTTCTCCTGCCTCAGCCTCCCGAGTAGCTGGGACTACAGGCGCCCACCACCATGCCTGGCTAATTTTTTGTATTTTTTAGTAGTGACGGGGTTTCACCATGTTAGCCAGGATGGTCTCGATCTCCTGACCTCGTGATCCTCCCGCCTTGGCCTCCCAAAGTGCTGGGATTACAGGCATGAGCCACCGTGCCTAGCAACAGGGTAGACTTTTTAAAAGGAAATGAAGCCTCAGGATGCTTGAAGGACTTGTAATACATGATATGAGAGCAAATGTCTACACCACGGCCAGAGCTCTTTCTACCTCACATATATTTTACCAAAGTTTTACTTTATTCTGGAAAAGTATATTCTGATGAATATTTATTGAACACAGAGATAGTCTCTGTTCCAGTTACTGCAGCTAAAATAATGCCTAAGATACTGTTCCTGCCCTTGAGAGGAATGTAGAAAATGTATCCTCCATGGGCCAGGCATGGTGGCTTATGCCTGTAATCCCAGCACTTTGGGAGGCCAAGGCAGGCAAATCACTTGAGGTCAGGAGTTCAAAACCAGCCTGGCCAACATGGAGAAACCCCATCTCTACTAAAAATTCAAAAATTAGCTGGGCATGGTGGTGCAATGCCTATAATCCTAGCTACTCAGGTGGCTAAGGCAGGAGGATCACTTGAACCCAGCAGGCAGAGGTTGCAGTGAGCCGAGATCATGCCAC